AAAATATAAAATTATTTGGAACTCTATGTCAATTTTTTTTAAATTGAAATTCATAGTATTAAATTATCTATACATGAAAAAAAATAATATTTTTACTCAAGTCTGTTACTGTTTTTATTTTATAATTAAATTTTATTAGTACAATATATATATATATATATATAATTTTATAATTGTTTTTGTTAATAATGTTAACTATGTTAAGTATTTAGGATAGTAGACATACCAGAAACTATTTATAATTAATTAAAAGTATTTTAAACTTATGGTATCTGTAAAATATAGATGATTATCCAACGGTCATTTATATTTGATTAACTAGGAATTTGATAAATAATTGTGAATATAAATGAAATATTTTCATGATAACTTCTAAGTATTGTAAGCTATATACAAATTCCAGACAGGAGTATTTTTTCACTTTAAATGTTCGTTATAACTATCTAATCTAACCTGTATATTGCTGTAATATTATTGCATTTTATTTTAATTAAGCTATAAATGCCATTTTAATCATGCAGGAACTGTTGTAAATAAGGCCAAAAACCTTTAATTAATAAAATTAAATAAGCTCAACCAGACAAAAAATGGAAAAAAGTGAATATTACCAAAAAATGTAAGTCTAGTTTAAGCAAGAAAATCATGCTGGTATTATGTTTATTCTGTCAACTTCCCCACATTGTAACTGTTGTGAATTGAACCTTCAATGTGATCTCAGAAAATATATTATTTTAAGACTTAGACATCTTCAAAAAACAAAGTCATGCAACTTCATCATTTGATTTTTTAAATATTGGAAGTAAACAACTTCTAGTTTTTCTATTTAAAATATCTTTCAATTCTCCTGTCTATAGCCCAATACCTCATGAATCTACCTTAATTTCCTAATATTTCACTAAAAAGTAAAGGTATCACTTCATTTTTCAAATAAAAGTCACATCAATGTTTCTAAATAGCTATATTTTTCTGTTACAGGTGTCGAATTTTTAAAATATGCAATCAATAATTAATTCCATATCACTAATCAAACTAAAGACTTAACAGTGGTCAATACACTATCACAATAACTAACGGAGTCGTAAATAAACTTCCATGATCTAAACACTCAATTTTTAATTTGATAAGTATTAATTTGTAATTATGGTTTTTAATAGATTTCATAATTTAAGTAATTGCAATGAAAATCGTAAAGAAAGGTTGGAGAATTCCATAATATCCTATGTAATATGATTCATTGATTTTTATTAAAAAAAAATAATTTAGGTTACCTAGTTTGTGATTTTGTTCTAAAAGAATATTAACATTTGGATAAATTAATAAGCTTAAAATACTAGAAAGGCTAAATAGCGTTTTTAGATTAAAATGATAAGTATATAAAATAATAAAATTTGGTATATAAATATAATATATATATTTGATATGATTGTGTCATAATGAAATACGTGTTACCTACGTAGCGTTATTTATAGAATATTGAGTGTTTTATTGATTTTTGCAGACTAATTAAAATGGATAATAAATAGTATATAAACTCTAACAATATTATTACATGTTTAAGAATGTAGTATAAAATATTTTTTGAATACGATTAGTAAAAAATAATTATATTTTCCAAATGTTTTAGTGCTTGTATTTCGTCCACCGTTAATTACTAACATAAACAAATACTGTTTTGATTTGATTCTCTTATATAGTCCAATTTTACTTGGTTAAGGTATTGAATATATATAGAATTGTACATGTTCTGTATTGAAATATAATATGAAAACATAAAAAAAAAAAGTCTATGGCAATATTATATATTATTTTCATATTAATTCATATATAAAATAATAAAATACATACTTAAGTTGTGTAGGTATTCTGTACTTTTACGGTAGATAAACAGTAATCCTATAATTTTATCCATTTTACAAATGGTTGAGGTAAAATTAAATTTCTATAAAAGCTTTTTACCTTAAAAACTCACAACACTGTAGTTAAGCTTTACATAATGCTCATTAGTTGATATAATTAAATATAATATGTATACAGAGTGATTTACTAAGCATGCTATCTTCTTTTTTCTTTAATAATTTAGCAAGCATTCATTTGATTAATCATGGCCAATACTAAGAAACTAATAATAATTGGCAATTGCGGTTAATTATTATTATTATAATACACGACACGTCAGAAAAGTGTTACTTAATATAAGTGGTTAACTGCGTACCTAAGTAGGTGCTTAAAAAGTTGTTTAGTGGGTATTTTAAAGATAGCAGTGATATTACTTTAACTAAAATCTAAAAGTATTTTTAATACCTAATTAATATTATTTGACTTTATTGTAATTGTGTATTGTGAATACACTAAACATTTTTATTTGAAAGAAGTATTATTTTATTTATTTTTTTGCCTACCACGTAAAATGTACATAGTTGCTGAACTGCATTCATATGTTTTATTATTTTTATTTTTATTTTTTTTTCTTCTTATAAGATCGAATTTCAAATGATTTTTGTAAAAGTATTTAAAAGTTTTTTAAAATAAAAATTCAAAATGCCGACGAAGGGATTTGATTAAAAGCAATTCTATACATTTTATAAATATTTTATGGACAATATTTAAATTTCAGTATGATATGCACGGTAATAAACGTAAATCAAATAGTAATGAAATGCATAAGTGTCAATAAAAATCATAATAAGGATTTCAAGAAATTTAATTTTAATGTTTTTAATTAGTATATTATTGGCGAAAGAATTGTTTTGGTTTTATAAACTTGAATAATTAAATTATTACACAATGCAACGAAATTTATCAATATCAACTCCAATAAAGTGTATTTCAGTAATTACTTAACTTGAAATCCGGTTTAGAATTTGAGGATATTATACAACAAATATAGTATGCCAACGAAATAATCTGTATGAATATTAATAGTTGTGCGTTCGTTGGCATTTACTAAATATATAATAATATTGCACCTATTCCAAAATTAATTTACTCTCATCGTAATGTATTGAAGCTATTGAAGTGAATTGATCCTTTTTAATTTATTTGTCGAAAAAGCATCAGCTGTAAACTACTTATGCTGTTCGTGGCATAATTTAATTTACTGACAGTTTATTGAAGAACGTTTATTTTTAGTTGTCAAGTTTTTTTATTTCTATATTCATACAACAAAAACATTCGGCTTTTCAGTGTTTTCAAACCGCACGAAATAATTTTGTGAAAATAAATATGTATTCTTAACAACTAATTATAATAATAAATAATATAATATTTATTTATTAAGCTTTAATAGATATAAAAGTACACAATAATTAAAAATAAATTTCACATATTCGTAATAAAACGTTGGAGTAAAAATGGAAACTCCAAACAAACGGTCACAAATTAAATGACTTTAAATTTTAAAATACATTTGTTGGCTATTATAACACTCAGCAAAATGCACAAAGAACTGATGATTTAGTAATGAATAAATAAATATTCATATTATAGGGTATGCTGTTTTCGGGAAATTATTTTTAGAGAACAATAGTTTCTGGTAAACGAATATGACCGTATCGTGTATTCTAACATGTATACTTGGCAATTTCCATAATAAACAACGTCGACTACTATTGAGATATCTTTTGTTACTTGGGCGTTACATTGGATTCCTAAAATTTTTTAAAACCGATATTGTACTATAACGATGGCCATGAGACTGCTATGGTTTTTTTTTTTTTTAAACAAACATTGATAATAATTATTGTTTGTATAATGTTTGTAAAATAACGAGTAGGTTTACCATTTTTGCAGGCGTGATAGTAGGAGAGGGTTGGTGGAGATGGGATCAGTCACAACGGGTCTAAGTTAAGATTTATTATTAAGCAATTATTATGCTTTAGTCATAATAAAATATAAGTAAAATACCAGGGTGGAATCATCATTAAAAAATAATAAATTAAATTGAATATGCATTTAGAGCTCGTATTTGTTAATTGATTTTTCGTTATATCACTGTAATACATAATACAATTTAATATGTATGTGTAATTGAGAATCTACGAAACTATTAAATAGTTTATCTTATTTAAGTACTTGAATATAAGTTATTCTTTCTTAATAAAGATTAAGTGTTTAGTTAAATGATTTTTACAAATAAATATATATTTATTTTAAATCTTGAGCGGTGTAATTGATTTTACAATGAAGTAGGTATATAATTTTTTTTTTTTTTTAGTCTATTATTACAATGTAAAGCAAAAAAAAAAAAATTTCATTTTCAACTTTGAGACTGGTTTCTTGTCAAAAAATTGGATCTAATTGACTAGTTGATACTTTTTTTTTGGGGAGGGGTTAAAAGTAAAAACTGACCTATCTTTTTACGTATGTTACAATATTTTATGAAAACACGATACTTTAAAAAAACATTAGAACGATTTTTAAATATTGATTATTTATAGTACATAAGTACGTATATAATCTAACCCAACACCGTTCTACGGTAAGGTTATATTGACTCAAATGTTAATATCATAATTAATGATACAAATACCTTCTACCATAATTATTTAGTATGCGCAATATTTTCGGAAAATATTAAATCAATCTGCCGTAAAAACTAATAGTAAATTATACCAATTTAGTAAATAGATAGGCACATAAAAATCAAACCATTAAATATAGGTGTTTAGTAATAGACATAGACTAACCGTCACCGCGCAAAATCATTTTTCGTGTGCAATTATTTATCATTGATTTCAAATTTAGTATATTTATCACAGTGATTTATTCAATCACGAGGTACACTCAACACCCAATGTATAGTGAAGTGATTATTAGGTACCTGTTTATGTATGACTAGTTAAGTTTTGGAATCTCTACGTACTCCTACCAGCGCACTATTAGTTATAAATCCCGGCTGTCTCCCGCAGCAACCGTTTTTTAGCATTGCATTATTGTAAAGGTATATATATATAAAACGATAAATATAATATAGCTAGCCGAACGCGTTTTTCGGGACTTACCGATCGTGGTGAGTATGGACAGGCAGTACAGGAACGACGTGGCCATGTTCCATTCGAAAGTGCTGTCCCCGGAGTCACCGCCGTGGTCGACGATGAAGCCGCCGCCGCCGGTGTGATAGCTGACCGCGGCCGATTCGATTTCCATCTGCTGCGTGAGGCGGCGTATCAGGTCCTCCTGGAACCGGTTCAGCTCCTGCGCGGCCAGTCGGGTCCAGTTCTCCCGGTACAGTATGTTCAGGTTGACCGTGATCTCCCATATGGTCTCCACGGTCCGGGCGCGGCTCTCTTCGCCCGCGGCTGCCGCGGCCATCCAGACGGCCGTCAGGTTCTGCTGCTGTGCGGGCATCAGGCCGGCCTCCCGGACCGGACTGCCGCCGCCACCGTCGTCGGCGTCAGCGGCGTCCGCGGCGTCCACGTCACCCTCGATGCTGAGAAATATTAGCGCGCCGGCGAACGTGTACGACACGAGCAGTGCGCACACGAACGCGTTCCGCAGACAGCTTTTGTAGCACTTGCGCTTGGCGTGTGCCACGCGGGCCCGTTCCACGCTGTCGTCGTCGCTGTCGCAGCAGAAACACCCCTGGCCGTCGTCCACCACCGTCGTCACGCCGACCGCTGACAACGACGACGCGGACAGCGGGCAGCCGTCGTACGACGAGCCGTAACCGCCGATCGTCGCGCCGGCCACACCGTAGTTGTACACGGCCGCGGCCGCGGCCACCGGTTGCGAGCAGCACGACGGCGTCCGGTCCATGGCGATGCAGCAGCAGCAGTCGTCGCCGCCGCCGCCACCGCCGCCGCCTTACCCGGTACGGCCGTCACTCGCCGCGACTCGATGTAACGCCGTTAAGTAACGATGTCGGCGACGGGCGATGTGGCGCAGGCGGCGGCTCTGTCGACGACGAGATCGGACCGACGACGTTGATCGAACATCTCATCGATTCTGCAATAATTAGCAACGAATTAATTGTCGTACACGATATCATAATGTTATTATTATTATTATTATTATCATCATGATTATTGTTGTACGATGCAGATTGACGTGAAATGTGATAATATGATTTCATGAAATTCGTGCTGTACGTAACGGTACAAACCACCACAACTAGAAAACGGTCCATTTCAAGACCACCAATCACAACACAGGTCACAGGATACAAGAAAACGACAACGTTAAGGGTGTCTAAGCGAGTCTTAAGCTCACCCAACCGTCACACAGACTAGTAAAATACGGCTATGGACAGGTGAGGTCAGAGCGAAGGTAACAACACTCTTCCCATAGTCATAAGTATAAAAGTGACCTCACAGTAACAAAATTGAAAATTCGCACCGACAGTAAGCACGGGCACGCACGGCGGTACACTTGTGGGTTTACTAGCCGGTACGGATTACGATATATTTACCGGGCACATTTAATTTTAAGTTCTTCCTATAATCTTCAATATTCAAACTCATCACAGAAGAGCAGAAGAGTAGAATACACGACGATCTACAAGACCAGCTACCGTCTCGGCCGAGGATCCGAAATCAGCAACTTCGGCACCAAAGTCCGATTGACCGAGTAGTCGCTTTAAAGTTACGCTTTTAAGTGATCGACTCCGTCCCTACAACCTGTACTGATCCGACGGTTATTATCCTACATTGTGAGATAGGACTGATATCATTACCGTCGGTTGTGATCGAGCCCCTCGTCCGCATCCGTCCGTCCAACGCACCAGCGATGTTCGCTACCCCGACCACTTAAATAATACGACATCAGTTTTACTTCAAAGCATCAAAACAAGATGTGAAAATTATGTTACTTCTTTTTATTTTCCAGCGGACTATATTGTTCAATATTTTGATTTTCTAACCAGAGTTACCAATAATTGGCTTTTCAATATCATGTGTGTTTTTAGTTTTAAGCTTAGATTTTTCAGCTTGAGGATGGGTTCTGGTAGGTAGAAAATTGGATAATATAGTCTGTATAATATCGTTCCAGTATTTGTAAAAATAATAGGATAGAAATTAGGGATAAACGAGGGAAGTTTTATCCGAAACCTAGCTGTTTTTCAAATGTGATTTAAAAATAAAAACTTTACAAATTTGAGTTATTTGCCAATTTTTTTAAACAAATGATATAATTTTTAAAATATTTGCTTTAAAATAAACGTTTGAAATGTTCTGCGTATCTATATTTGAAATAATATACTTGAGTTTATTTTTTTATCATTATATTATTTATTGATACATTTTTGTAGCGTAAAGACTATTTGAAATATGAATATTTGGTTGGATGTTTTTTGATAGTTGGTAATGATTATGTCAGTGAAAGATTTATTTATCTTACATTATTTATTCGGCCTTTGTATTTTGAATGTACCTATTGATTTGACTGATTTGTGATTAAAAACGAAATTGATGTTTATTGTTGTTAAAAAAAAGTATTCCAGTAACGTATTTTAAAAGAAGTAAAAAAGTAAATATAAATACAAAAATATCTGTTCAAATTTATTGAGTTCGCTTATGGCATAAATAAAAACTTAAGTACTGAAATGAATGGAAAGATTGAATACACGTAGAGAAGGTTGTAAATTGTAATATTATTTTTACTTATATTGGTATTAAGTTTTTGAAAATATTATGAATCAGTTATGATATATATATGAGTGCTTATTTAAAATTTCATCGAGTATCATTACTATCATTTTAATATGTAAATAAAATAATTTTACGACAGTAAGTAAAACAGGTAGAACATTTCTAGAATATTAAAATAATAATGATTCATCAAATATTTTAATAAAACCATCAATATTAGATATAAATATTAATTTATTTTGAAGAAATCATGAAATTTAAATAAAATAAAATAAATTATCAGTTATGATGTAAATAATAATGTATCCTTACTTGAGATTTTTATCGGAGTAAAATAGTTTTTGCAAGTACTATTAGATTATAAATTTTTGTTTTTGCTCGTTTAACATAAAGGGAAAAAGTGCAATAGTCATCAAATTTCATTCAAAAGATGAACACATCACACAAGAATTAAAATCCATAAATCACGAAAAACAGCATAACTGGCGATGATAGGTACGCCATAACTATAAGTAATCATTCATTTTTAGTAAAACAGTTTAAAATAATTTCCTAACGAATTATCAATCTAAATTGAACGATAGTGTAAACTGTACTTTTATTATTCTTAATTATAGCAGTTGGTGTGTTTTGAATGAAGTTATTAATTGCTTGTAATATTTAATTTTTATGCAAATTAATATAATTTTTGAATATCTATTTTATTTAAAAAAATTGAAACAAATAAGAAATTTTGTTTATAGATTTGCAATAATTTAGTTACTACTTTTTACGGTATAATTGTTTTATTAATATTTTCATACATATTAAAGGAACATCGATAAATTTATTTTAACTAACGAAGATAAAATAAATATTCTAACCATTTAGTTTTAATTATTTTTTACAATCTATCAAAATCCAAACAAATTTTACTTAAGTTATTGTTTTTTAAATTTACATGCATACATACATAGTAAAAAGGTACCTAGAAGTATATTTATTGGTCGCCTTTATTTCATTATGTATCAAAACTGACTCATTGTAAATTAACTTTGAAAATGAAGTGAATGTCATGTATACATTTAAAACAAATTAACAAAAAAAAAAAAAAAATACGTAAATAAATAAATAAATAAATAATATTAATAATAATATGATTATAAGAACAAAAAGATGTATTTTAAATAATTTTGTTTACGCTATTTTAAAAAAAAAATAAATCTTTCCCACTCGTTATCGAAGCGAGAGGATATATTTTTATTTTTTTTTGTTTTTAATGTACTTAATTGACCTAAAGAAGTATAATTGTACAAACTTGATTGTATTCATTTTATTCATTCATCCAATCATACGAATTAATTACATCAACGCAAACCACTAATAGATTTATTTATAGTCAATCCATTGAATTTTTTGATTATAGAATTATATATTATTAATTATTATTTATTATATATTTATCATTCATATTAGTTTGTGTTGTTTTTTTAAATTTACTTTTAAAATTTTCATGTTTTTTGCTTTGTACATGTATTTATAAAAAAAAGATTTTTTATTACTTGTTATAATTTATATGTAATAATGTTCACTTATTATTAAACTTATCATGGAATTTTGAATGTAGGTGTATGTTGTTATTATTATTATTACCATCATTATCGCTGTTATTATAATTTCCTGCATACATTGCAAAATATCTCATACTTGAAAAATACGTGACGTAAAAAAAAAAGAGGAAAAATAGTAAAAGCGCACGTATAAGTTACATACATTATATCCTCGGGGCAATGATGCGTTCATTTTCACTCTTGCCTTTTCTTTTGACGATTGCTTGATTGCGGTAGCTTACGCTAGAAAAAATGTTCTACTAGATATTTACGTGTAACGTGTGCTAATTTGTAGATCTCATATTATTATTATTACCATCATCATCATCATCATAGTTTCTATGTAAATTATATGTTATATTGTCTTGTTTTTTGTGTTAAAATGCTAATATTATTGTTCGTGGGGGAAAAGAAAGAGTCATGTTCATACAAACGAGATATGTGATATTATACATATATAAATTTGTAACTTTGTATATTGCGTTACGTAGTCTGACTATTTCGTTTTAATTTTTTCTTAGCAGTGTAGAAATTGGTTTTTTTTAGTAATTTAGGATGGTGAAAACTTCGTGGTATATTTTATACATATATACAGGCACCTCTTTTCCATTGGGCACTTTGGGTACGTGCCCAGGGCCTCGCGATTGTTGGGGCTCCTTAATTCCTACCAGATCACCAACCAATCGATATTTATTACCTTTTTTTTTTTTAAAAAATTTAATAGGATATTTACAATCTGTAAAAATAGTTTAAAATAAATATAATATGGTTGCGTCAGGTAAATATATAGGTTTGAATGCTTGAGACGAGTAATATACCCAAATGAAGAAACTGAAAATATACTAGGAATATATCATCTTTTGAAGAAAAATAAAATTGAAGACACATTTCCAAATGTAGAAATTGCATTAAGAATATTTTTAAGTATGATGGTAACTAACTGCAGTAGAGAACGCTCTTTTTCTAAATTGAAAAGAATTAAAAATGAATTAAGAAGTAAACTACTACAAGAAAGATTGAACAGTTTTTCATTGATATCAATAGAATGTGATATGCTTACAAACATAGACTTAAAAGAAGTAATTAACGATTTTGCCAATCTTAAATCTAGAAAGATGCTTTTTCAATAAAAATAGAATTTTCAAAATTTTCAAATTATTTTAAAATTATTTTTAAGTTAATATTATACTAAGTATCTAAATTTAATGTGAAATGAAAAAAATAAAAATCCTCTATAGTTAAATTAATCTAGACTTTTTCTTATCTACCACCTCCCTATTTACCTGTTTTAATAAAATAGTATTCTGTCCAAGTTGTAGAAGCCCCATTATACCATTGCCCAAGGCCTTAAAAAGGTTAAAGACGGCCCTGCATATATATATAAATTCCGAAGACACATCTCGTTATTATTTTTTCTCCAACTTTATCGACATGCGAAACATGCATGTTTGAAATTTTAGAATGACGTAAGAATTTAAAGAATCTTTTCCAAAGTCTATACATTTTCATCTCAATAGAAATGTGTTTTTTATTTTTAACTTTTTTTTAAAATGTATTCAAAATTGTATACGTAGTATACAATTGTTTCATATTTTATTTATAGCAAAACATTTCACGTGTCTTTAATTAAATTTCTAATTTCTAATCAAACAGTTACAATGATTAAAAAATATTATACATTCTCATTTGATTCACGATATTAGAAATATCTGTGTCTCTCATCTTATTTCAATGAGACACTAAACGTTTTTATTAATTATTATTACCCTAC